AGCCAGAGTATACTCCGGCCCCCTCGGCATGCCCATAATGCCGTTGCCCTGTGATCAAGTCCCCATTACCAACCGTCCGGTGGTACCTGGCCCAATAGAGTCATGGACCGGAACCTTTTTGGGGGTGCCGCAACATTCGAAATAACCTGGAAGCGCTGCTTGGTGGGGGAGTCAGGATAGGGTGTAAAGGGGTTGAGGTGCGTGAGTGTAATAGATAGGTCCTTTTTCCCTCGCGGCTATTGGTCCAAAAGAAAAGTGCTTAGTGGACATCCCATCGACCGTCAACCACCAGCGGTAGGTGTTTAGGTCAATCTCCGCGCTCCGTCCAGTGTGTGCGAACTATAAAAGAGGTCGTTGGACCACTTCCCTGCTTCAGTGCCTCCCACGTCGGTCGGCCCAAGTCTTAACTCCGGCTTGGTTGGGAATCAACAGCTCGGGCTTGATTTCGTGCGCACGGATGTCTGGGTTTGCCATTTTATGCCTCCGTATTGCGTTGGGTTAGCTTGGGAAGTCTTCCTCCTGTCACCCGCTTCGATCGTTCGCACCGGTGAACGGCAAGAACGACGATAATTTAATCAACTACTACTCCAGGTAGTCCGTCTCCCAGGTCAGTAGTAGGTAGTCACCAGCAACCGGACCGGACCACAGCTTGTTGCCCCGCTTGTGCTGCACGCCCGGTGGTTCAAAAAGATTGCAACCCGCTCTCACCGATACGCAGTTTCATCGTCGATAATCAACTTGCACTGCCCTGCTGCCGCACTGCGACTCCGACTTCCCGCCTTCCTACACATCATGGCGATTGTCGGGTGGGGTGAGTATGCAACCTGCCTTCCCACCCGGGTGCAGTTTCCACTTCCTTGACCGCCGCGATGCGGCCCCCCTGCGCCACGCGAAACAAAGGTGCTCTCAGCCCGGTAGTCCTCCGGAGCCGCAATCCTAACCGTGTTGTGTCAATAATGCATAGGTTACCTCCTCATAAGGCTGACCCGTTACCGCACCATACGGGTTTAACAAACCACTAAATACCTTTTCAATAAAGCTAGGCAGTCTCAGTGTCGAATGCGGCAGCGGGGTCGGGAGTCTATCAATGGTAATAGCGGCAGCCTCTCCTCAGACGTCTCAACCTGTTCTTAGTCCTCTGCTTGATCAATTGTCGGCACATAATGCCTGGGTTGGGCACCCTGTTTCCCTATCTCCCACAATGACTGAAGCAATTGGGAGACTTTCTGCCAGCTTTCTGCACCCCCCTGCCAGTCATGAAGGGTATTCCCGTAGTAATTCGTGTAGCTGGTCGGCCCGTTGACCTTCCAAAGCCCCTCAGTCGAGGCGGACCAACTCGGCCTGGCCAGCAAATCTACTATTTTTTTCCCTTCGCAGGGAATGAGAGTGGTGTGGTGCCTCCACCCCCTTCGGACGCAGATAGCCTTCACAGCTTGGGCGCCAGCGCCGGAATCCCTTTCAACGCCTGCAAGCGATCGCCCTTTTGCTCCATTCGTAGTGAGCCTGCTGGAAAAGCGCTTGTGGCTTTGATTGGCGTATCGCTGGCAATTATAGTGGTCATGGATGTTCCTTGTCTGAGGGCGCGTCCTAGGCTGGCAGATTGATTTTTAACGACCCCGGCCGAACTCTGATATCTCCCCTTTCAACTTGCGTATTTCTCGCCCAGACCGTTTCCCACGCAGGTAATTCATCAATATCATCAGCGTAATTCCGGTCGGGTCCGCTGGCCTACCAGTCGGTGGGGGTGGGCTCATCACGAACGGCGATAGACCCGTTTCTTCTAATCTACGGTCGTCCAGACCCTCTGCCCTCCTCATGAGCGCCGACAGAACCGCGACAATCTGTTTTCCCCTGATGCCCAACAGGGTAGACGCGCAGGGTGGAAATCTGTCTGTCGGCGGGGCACGTCACGGTCAAGGAAGTGCTCTTGGCGGGCACAAGACCCCCAATCTGCAGCTCCAGCCACCCCCGCGGAGCCCAGCGGGCGCCCGGGACATGGTCCCTGGGCAAAGTCGCCACTGCTGTCCACAAAAATTACTGCCGACGATGGATCGCCAGTCCGCTTCTTCGTTCCATTTTCCTGCTGAATTTCCATTTTCCCTGACTAAATAAAGCCTGTTTCCCTCGTCATGCCCGAATGGTTTCCTCTGCGCGCCAAGTCTTACCACATCCAGGCGGCTTCTATACCTCATTCGGCTACCCCACCTCCAAGTCCGTCGTACTGCATATACATCTCGTTGCCCCCTCGTGTTCCTTTCCCGGACTAAACGTGCAGCCGGTGTTTTGAAGGACGATCCGGATAGAGTGAGCGGGCCTTGCCGTCACAGGTCATATGATTGGCTGTTTCTGCTGGACCAGCTGCTCTTCGTCCGGGCTCTGACTTCCGAGAACCGTCAAGACCAGAAATCCTGGTTCCGCACGCAAACCGCTATCACGCAACGCTTATTTATTCCGGTTGGTAACCCTCCTAATTTCACCAAGCGAAGCCGGGAATGTGACCATCGGCGTATTTTCGGCGGCGGTGTTCGGCAACATCCCCACGAAGTATAAACCTTTCAGGCGTTTCAACATCATCAGCATTTCGCCTTGCTGCGTTCCAATCATTGCTGGAGGCAGGGTACACTCAGGCGGTTTAGCGAACACCGTCTCTTTTTCGGCCAACCGGTCGGCATAAGCCTCTGCCGCCGCCAGGCCCTCAGGCGTGGGTTGGGGAAGGTCAACGCGGTCCGCTCCTGATTCCACGTAGCCGGAGCCTGCCAAAACCCAGCCGGAGGTACCGTTCTTCAGTCCAAGAACATTGCCGCGGCCCATCCTCTGCAGCACTCGAGTTCCAATGATGCTGCGGGTGCGACCGGCGCAGTTGACGATTACCGTCGTATCGGGGTCAAGGTCAGCTGTTATGTCCGTAATACGCACGCCAGTTCTCCGCCAGGAACGCTGCGGCCGCCCGGTATGCAGAACCTCCGGTACTCTTCCGGGGTGCGCGTATCCAGTATTACCAGCTTGTCTCCCCGTTCGATACGGTTGTGCAGTTCGGTTGCGTCAATCTCCGGCACATGGTTGACGACTTCCACCTTTTCCCCAAAGTCCTTGCTCGGCACGTTGACGCCCCATTCAGTGGGGTAGTCCAGGCTGGCCCACCGGTTGATGCCCCGGTCCAGCACCGACACGTTGGTATATCCCAACCTTTCCAGGGTGCCGGCAGCCAGGGAGGCCCGGCGGCCATCATCATCGCACAGCACGATATGCGCCCCGGTATGCGGAACGGAGGCAGCTATGCGGAACTCTATCTCCCTCCGCGGGATCAGGCTGGACTCCGGGATATGAGTGCTGTTGAACTCACCGGCTTCACGCACGTCAATCAGGGAAAGAACCCATCGCTCTCCAGTAATGCGGCAAGAGCCTCAGCGGCTATTTCCTGGGACATTGTTTTGTTCACCTCAATTGAGTTGTACATTTAAGATCCGCCTGAGCTTCCTTAACAGGGTAGCGGGCACTCTGACTGAAGAATCAAGGAAAAGTCCGGTCCTGGACGGTCACGCCACTGTCACCCGACAGTGGTCGCAACCTAACAGTTGTCGTACTTTTCAGTCACGAAGGGGGTTATCTTGCCCGTTTCCAGGTTATATCGGCACCGGTTCAAACCCCTCAGGTCGTTCCCGTAAACGTGGATTTCAACCGTAGGACGGTCAGTAAAGTTGTCCATTTGGTGAATCTCGTCAACTTCGGGAATCAGCAGGGTGATCTCGCCGGACGTGAACTCTACACTTCGATCCTGCTGCAGCGTGGCGTAGCCTTCCACCGAATAGTCGTCCACCCGGCGGAAGCGAGTCTCGGTCAGGTGGTTGCCCATCACGCCGATCATGCCCCAAGTGCCGTGGTTGTGGGGTGAAGCCGCATGGTCGCCTGGCCCCCAAACAACCGAGGTAACCAGCAGACCGCTATCCCCTTGGTAAAGGGCATAAGAACCGTGGTTGCTGCGGGCTCCCCTGCCCACCGGCACCAGGTACTCTTCGGAAATGGCCGAAGGATTGGCGATACAAGCCGTTCCAGCAGCCCAGAACCCTTGTCAAAAATCCTTTCCTGCTCGGGTTGTTCCCTGAGCAGTGATTCCATGTCATGAATGAACTCGTCCAGCGAATACTTGACGGCGGTCATGATATGCCTCCAGTGGAGTTCCGTAAGAAGAAGCTAAAGGGCTAGTCAAGGTCAGCGAGTACGGCTTTTGAGATATTTAGGAATTATGGTATTGGGGTAGGGGTATGTCAAGAAAACAGATACAAACCATTGGCAATTGATGAGCCAGGATTAAGGCCGCTAGGTTAACAGCAAACTTTCCCCAATTAGCAATAGCTATCGCATGAACCCGTTTTGAAGTATCATAGTTAGAAGGCAATTGAATCTCGTTCGTTGTCGATTTGCGTTTTACCTTGGCCTACAGTTTGTTCTCAACCTATCTCTCCCGCAGCCATGAATAGACGAACCTTGTTACGGCGTTTATCTGGGGGTAGCGGTCCACAACGTGGCCTTCTCCGACATCTCAGATTTGCTTCAAGGTCTGGGGTTTGAACTCATTCGGATCAATGGTAGTCACCACATCTTTTCCCCCGCCGATGTGGAGGAACTAATTAATCTTCAACAAGTGGGGAGAGAGCTAAACCATATCAAATTCGCCAATTCCTGCGCCTGGTAGAAAGGTATAATCTGCACTTGGACGAGTAAGAAATGAAAGACTACCACATAAATATATTCTACAGTGAAGAGGACGAAGGATACATTGCCGACATCCCTGACCTGAGAGATTGCTCGCTTTCGGAAATACGCCGGAAGAGGCTTTGGCTGAAGTTCACTTGGCACGTACTACGTGGTTGAAAGCGGCACTCGCGGCCGGAAGAAATGAACCGGAGCCACGCTACCGTCCAGCCATTTACCAAGTATAGATCGTTTAGTCCCCTGTTGGTATTGCCGACGGCTAATAGGCAACTGCGCACCTATTGCCCACGCTTAAGTGCCGCCGCCACTTACGGTAACCACCCCCAATCTGGACTTGCCCCTTTTCCCTGTCCTATAATTTCCCCACCTTCCCCAGGAGCTATAGCTATGGCCGTTTTTCGCCCGTTCCGGGGCTGCCGGTATACGCCGCAGGTCGGCAGCGACCTGGCAGACCTGCTCTGCCCACCCTACGACATGATCGGCGCAGGGCTCAAGGAAAATCTGCAAGGCCTCAGTCCCCACAACGCCGTGCACCTGGAAGGCGGGGAACAACCCGACCTTGTGGACCCGGAAGCCGGTTACCGGCAGGCGGCAGCCCTGTTCCGAGAATGGCTGGAAACCGGCGTCCTGCGCCAGGAAGATTCACCCAGTTTTTACCTGATGCGCCACACCTACCAGGATGAAAGTGGAAACGGAACCAGGCAGCAGTTGGGCTTGTTCGGCGACGTGCTAGTGGAGACTACGGCAGCGGCTCGGTATTGCCCCACGAGTTCACACGGGAACCGGCTGTCATGGACCGCGTCGCCCTATTGGAAGCTTCCAGGACCCAGTTCAGCCCCCTGATGACCCTGTACCGGGACGCTAATGGCGAGCTTGGCCCAGTCCTGCAACAGGTAACCGCTGGCCCACCGGAGGTCGAAACTCCAGGGAGTCCCCAATCCAACATTGGCGAATTAGCCTTCTGGCGCATCGTCGACCCCGACCTGCAACAGCGCATAACTCAGTTTTTTGACGGCCGTCCCATTTTCCTCGCGGACGGTCACCACCGCTACGAGGCTGCTCTCCGGTATAGCAGGCCCAGTCCCAGGGAGCAGATAATAGCATGGACGCAGCCCACAACTACGTCATGATGTCCCTGACCGAGTTTGACGATTCCGGATTGCAGTTGCTTCCCTACCACAAGGTAATCGGCAGACTTTCCCCCGAGCAGCAGGAACAGTTGGAGGAAAGTCTGCTGGAGTTGTTTGACGCCGATGCGGTGGACTTGAATGAATGCGGCGGGGCAGCGGGATTTGGTCAACTGGTTATTGACCGTGGCAGGGGAAAGCACGTGGTCGGCCTGGTGGGACCCCAGGGGGACAAAGCCCGGCTGCTAACCCTTCGCGAGTACATAGACTGGCGTGAGTGGGGGGACTTGGCAGTTTCCGAGGCCTGGGTGCTGGACGAGCAAGTCATTAAGCCATTGCTGGGAGATACCCTGGGGCGTCACGTGGACTACAGTCATGACGCGGCCCGCACGGTGAGTATGGTTGAAGAAGGCTCGCAGCAGTTTGCCTTTTTGCTGAAGCCTTTCCCCATGGATGCTTTCGAGGCAATAGTGGGCGGCGGGCAACGGTTGCCCTCCAAGTCCACCTTTTTCTACCCCAAGCTGCCCACGGGCCTGGTGTTCAACCGGCTGGACGGGACCATTTAAATTCAGTCCAGTCTTGGATCGGACTCGGCCGACGGGTCGATTTGTAACGTCTGGCGGCTGTCCTGGCTAGTCTGCAGCTTCTAACCTTTCTCAGCCCCCGTGCCTCTCCTGGTAGCGGGCGGTGATCACCTGCTCGGCCAGCTTGCTGTGGTCGGCAATAAAGGACTCGAGGCGCCGTATCTCCAACAGCGTTTCCTCGGATCCCCCCTCACTGCGGGCTTGCCGTTTCAGGTTGGCCAGGGAACGACGGGCCTCGTCCACTTGTCTCACCGAATCCAGGGCGGCCAACTCTTCCTGTGCCGATTTCTTGATGGCCAGCAGGCGTCGCTTGACGGCTTCAGAATCCTCCAATCGTTCCTCTATCTCTCCCATGGAGGACAACGAAACTTCCAGTGGAGTACGGCCGTAGATAACCTGTCGGGGCAATCGCTGCAGCTGGGTGCGGAACTGACTGATCAGCGCATCAAGCTGCTGCTCCTTGTTCTGCAGTTCGACCAGAGTCAAACGAAGCGTGGCCATCGTATGCTGAAGTTCGGACATTGTCATTGGCAAGACCTTGAAGAAAGAAAATGGAAGAACAATTCTATGAGATTAGGGACCTGTGAGTTCGACCCCTTATTCTGCCTGAAGGAAAAGAGGGGGCACGAACCCACTGCTCTCTATTTCGGCGTTCGGTGCTAGAAACCTACCCGCGGCAAAACTCTGCCCAACGCATCAAGGACTTCCTGGATGTGCTCCTCGTTTAACGTAGCCCAGATGCCGATCCGGAATATGTGGCCGGTCAGCTTGCCCTGCCCACCGGCCAGGACCACATTCTCTTCGGTGCGCATAATTTCCATCATCTGCTCACCATCGATGTGGATAGGCATCTTGACGGCGGTCACGGTGTTGGAAGCCCTGGCCTCGTCAGCGCAGAGAAGTTCCAACCCCATGGCGCGGACCCCGTCGCGGGTAAACTGTCCGATGGAAGCATGACGGCCGAAAACGCCTTCCATGCCCTCGTCCATGATGTTCTCCAGGGCGGCCCGCAATCCATACATGGCGGAAAGGTTGGGCGTCCAGGGGGTCTGGCCCCGGTCCAGGTACTTTTTGGCCTCTTCCAGATCGAAGTAGAAGCGGGGCATGGCCGCCTCCTTCTGGGCCTCCCAGGCGTCCCTGCCGAAGCTGATAAAGGCCAGGCCCGGCGGAATCATGAAACCTTTTTGCGAACCCGTGGAGACCACATCGCAGTCCCAGCCATCGACGGGCAGCGGTACGCAACCCAGGCTGCTCACCGCGTCCACCAACAGCAGCTTGCCAAATTCGCCCTTAACCACGCTGGCGATGCTCTGCAAGTCGTGAGTAACCCCGGTTGAGGTCTCGTTGTGAGTAACGATCACTGCCTTGATTTCCGGATCGTCCTTCAGCCCTTGACGAATCCCATCGGGATCAATGGGCTCTCCCCACTCGAAGGTTATCCGGGTCACCTCGGCCCCGTATGCGTCCAGCAGGTCGGCATAGCGGTCGCCAAAGGACCCGGCGCTGGCGGCCAGCACCTTATCGCCGGGAGAAAGAGTGTTGACAATGGAAGCTTCAAGAGCCCCGGTGCCGGAGGATGTGAGAATGAACAGGTCGTTCTCCGTCATGAAGACCTGCTTGAGCTTCTCCGTGCATTCGGTTATCAACTCAAAGAACTCCGGACCCCGGTGGTTGATCATATGGTCCGACATGGCTTCGTAAATATCTTCCGGTATGGGCGTCGGCCCCGGGGTTCGCAGGTTATGGGGTTGAATTCTCAAAATTCCTCCTGGTTTTCCTGAAGCCTGGCAAACAGGCTTAACTGTTTTTCGTTACCTTCACGTCGCTTTGCACACAGGTACTCCGCCCCTTATGGGCGTCCGACGTAGGATTATAGCACTTGAAAAGTCTTGCCGCACGGCTTCAATAAGGTTTGCCTTGGCGACCCGCATTGAACCCTCGTGACCTGATCATCTCCTCCTTGGTTAACAGTCGAGCCCCTCCCATTGCCAGCGCTTCCCACTGAATGACAGACCCGTGCTGCTGGGCCTGCCAACCGGCCCTGTACAGGCTCCATTACCCCCTTCTATCATTGTTAATACATCCCTGTGTCCCTCAGGCCCCCTCCGGTGGCCGGGCCATTCCCATGCAGTACCGCCATTTGGCATTTGGACAACCAAAAGGTTTGCTATTTAGAGCAAAGTCGAAGTCTCCAAAATGCTGATCTTGAGTCAACTTTCTGTAAACCAATAAATACCTGGGGTTATCCTCAGGCCCTTGGACAATCTCAGGGTAATACCCAGCGAGAATGGCAAACATATACAAGTTTCAATGATAAGGCCTTGTTTACGGTTGCCCAGCGTCACCTAGCAAGTGGGCGGAAATGAGCGGTTTTGGCGGGAAATTAGTTTTTTCACACCGACCTTTCTGCGGGTACCCGCGGACACCGGCCAGGCGCCGTAAGTGGGCGGAAAATGAGCGGTTTTGGCGGGAAACTAGTTTTTTCTCACTGCCCTTACTGCGGATACCCGCGGACACCGGCCAGGCGCCGTAAGTGGGCGAAAATGAGCGGTTTTGGCGGGAAACTAGTTTTTTCTCACTGCCCTTTCTGCGGATACCCGCGGACACCGGCCAGGCGCTGTAAGTGGGCGAAAATGAGCGGTTTTGGCGGGAAACTATTATTTCACACTGACCTTTCTACGGGTACCCGCGGACACCGGCCAGCGCTGTAAGTGGGCGAAAATGAGCGGTTTTGGCGTGAAAAATAAAAATTGCCCACTGCCTGAGGGAGAAAGGCCCGGTGCTGAGGGCTTCGTCACCGCGGAGGGTTTGACCCAAACTTTACAATTCCCGCGTTTCACCGTTGTTGACGCAATAGGCGAGGTGGACTAAACTTCAACCATTGGCATCCCCCAGGCTTCACAGGAGATGTGAACGTATCATAAACGCAAACGGTCACCCCACTTTGGGAGACGATGTAGCCCTATTTATAGACTGGGAAAACTTTAAAATCAGCTTGGCCGCCGGCAACAGAATGCCTAACGTAAGCGCCCTCAAGGAAGAGGTCTCCAACCACGGGAGGGTGGTGGTGGCCAAGGCCTACGCTGACTGGGTTACCAGGTCTCCTGAACTGAAAGGGGCCAGCCAATTTATCAACGATCCTCCCGCACTTTACGCCGCCGGCATTGAGCCGGTGTATGTTCCCACCCGCCTGCCCCTCGGCAGTCCCTCTGCCCTGAACTACCGGACCACCCGGGTCAAGAACAGTGTGGACGTCAAGATGACGGCGGAGTGCATTGAGTGCGCCCATTCTTACCCCAACATCGGCACCTACGTGCTGGTTTCAGGCGACTCCGACTTTATCCATGTTATTAACTCGCTTCGGGCCATCGGCAAGCGAGTCATAATCATCGGCGTTTCATGGAGCACCTCCCGCCGCCTGGCCGACCAGGTGGACGGGCTGATTCTATACGACTTCGACGTGGATCCGGAAGTTCAGCCCGAACCGGTGCCGGTGCCCGCCCCCGCCACTCGTTCTTCCCGCTCGGCAAACACGAATCGACAGCAGATCTCCGACGTAATGCGGACCATCGAAGACATTGTGCGTTCGGAGCGTCAGGCCGGCCGGACTCCACTGCTGACCTCTCTCAAGCAGCGGATTATGCGCCGGATCCCCGGATTTGACGAGAAGAAACTGGGCTTTTCTGGTTTCAAGAAGCTTATGCTTCGCACTGCCGAGGAAGGAACCATTAGGCTGGTTACGGTGGGGCTTGTGGACTGGGTAATAATGGCCGACGAGCCAACGCCGGTAGAGGCGCTGCCCGATTCCCAAGTTGGCAACAGTTCCATTGAATCAGTTGCAGCAGCTGAAGAGGTAATTCCCGCCGCCGAATCTGAAACCGAAGTCGTCACGGCGTCGGATACCCAGCCCTCAGCGACTGAGGACGAGTCAGAAAAAGCCGAAACCGACGCACAAGTGGCTTCCCAGGATGAGGATCTTCAACCGGCGCTGGCAGCGGAAAGCGCAACTGCCGACCAGACGACCCTAACCATGGACCATGCCTCCGGCCAAACCGATTCCGTACTAAACGAAACCACGCAAGAATCTGAAGCCTTTAGTGATGCCGCGGAGTCGGGGATTGAAGTGGAGGCGGAACCTCCGGCGCTCAGCCCTGAACTGGAACGGGCATTGGAAGATACCCTTGCCCAGCTGGAACTGCCCAAGGGTCCTGGCGACGGTCAAGACGGTCGTCGTATATCTGACTTGGTGATCATGGCAGATACCCTGGAACATCAGGAGGGAATTAGCCACGTAGCTTTTAACTTCCTGCTTTCAGAAATCTGCAGCGCCTTGCAGCAGGGCCTCGAGGCCGATCACCCCGAGATTACCGGTCGCTGGGGCGGCCGCATCTACTCTCGCACTTACGTGACCCGCCTGCTGAGGGGCTTGGGTGATAAGGATGTATTCGTGCGGGACTGGCACCAGGAAAAGAGCGAAGAGACCGGGCGCAGCAGGCGCTTCCGGACCTTCAACCTCAACCGCTCCCATCCCCTGGTGAAAGAGGCCGTCGTAAGTCAGTGGGGTCCGGAAGCGGCCACTGTCCCCTCCGAGGCCGAATCCTCACCTGATGAGAGCAGCACAATTTCCGAATCCGCGGTGCCTGATATGGTGGTTGCGGCGTCGGCTATTGTAGCAACGTCAGTGGAAGTGGCTGAACCATCGGTAAACGGCCACGACACCGAATCCGCGGAAACAGCGGAAACCCCTGAACCCGCCAACGCTCCCAAAAAGAAAGCAAGAAGGGCCCCCACCAGGAGGAAGCGGCCAACCGCCTCCGAGCCGGTGCCGGCCACGGATGGCTAGGGGCTCTTCAAAGCAGGCAATAGGCAACGGTTAACGGACACTAACCTGAAGGGGCAGGGAAATCCTGCCCCTTCAGGTCGTTAACTCCAGTACACCTCAGGCAAGGTCGCCGCCGCCATTGCTACATATCCAGGACTAGTGAAGTCCACCCGAAGTTGCGGGCACCCAGCCCTTCCCCGGTATAGGGGTTGTAGTACTCCCTGAAGCCTGACAGTTCCACCGCCTCCTGGGTCTTGGCGACAATGGTATCGGCAAGTTCCGGGTAGCCATGCCCCCTGAGCGCATGGAAAGGAACCAGTTGGTATTGACCCAGGTCGGCCCCCTCCAAATGAAACCCCGGGGGTTGCCAGGCATGAACTTGGGGTTGGAAGCCGGCACCGAGGGCAAGGGATAAGGCAACCAGAAATGGTCTGGGTTGGTGACCCACTGCTCCACCAGCCGTTCAACTATATTGCGGGGCAGGTCACTGAGCACCAGCGGCATCAGTGAGCTGATGGTGACCACCATCCACCGGCTTTTCGGCCACACCGCTCAGATCAAAGAAAGCGCCGGCCTCTTCGTTCCAGCATTTCTCCAGCAGAGCGTCCCGGGTCTTGTCCGCTTCCCTGCTAAATTCCCCGGCGTCGGGCGAATCCCCAAGCAAGCGGGCCAGGGAACGGAGGCCGAAGGCGTAAATGGAGTTAACCAGCACATCCTCGAAGTGGAAGATGTCTGCCGCCAGAATACGCCGGTCATCGCCACGCATGGGTTCGTAAGCGGCGTATACCTTGCGGAGGGCGGCGATAAAACCCTGGTTGCTCAACTCGTCGAGACCCAGCACTTCGTCGTACTTGGGGGAACAGTCGGTTCCGGCCTCTTCCGGCTGGATAACGGCAATCAATCCGTCCTCATCCGGGTCTCGGTGGTAGCGAAGCCAGCGGTAGTAGGCAGTCAGCACGGGCAGCGCAGCCTCAAGGAACTGGGCGTCGCCGGTAGCCCGGTAAACCCGCTCCACCGCATAGGCAATGATGGGAGGCTGAATGGTGGCGCTGAAATAGGGTGAGGTCATCCCGACGATATTGCGGTTCAGGAAGTCGGGTTGTTTCTCCATCTCCCAGAAAATGATGTGAGGAATAAAGCCATCGGGTTGGGCCCCGCTCAGCAGGGTGGTTAATTCGGCTTTGGCCTGGTCCGGGTCCAGGTGCGTCAGGGCAATGGCATGGAAGCACGAGTCCCAGAACCACTGGAAGGGGTATCCGGTAAGGGAAGGCACAGAGAAGTTGAACTCCTTGCCATTCCAGTCGGCCACACCCCGCCGAAGGTTGGTCAAAAGGATCTGTCGTGCCTGTTCTTCCAGTTCGGCTCGTTCCATTTAGCTGCCTCCCGCTTCATCGCCCCGGTAAACTGCCAGGTACTTGTCGGCCACCACCGACCAGGTAAATTCCTTCAGGGCATACTCCTGAGCTTCTTCAGAGAGTTGACGCCTGTGTTCCTCGTCGTTGACCAGGCGGACCAACTCTGAAACTGCGGCTTCCTTGTCAAACCGGGGAACCACTCTCGCACCCTGGGTAAGTAACTCCCGATTGGCTCCCACTTCGTGGGTCAACACCGGAAGCCCGACCAGCATGGCCTCGAAATAGACCAGTCCAAAGGCCTCGTACTGGGAAAAGAGGGCAAACACATCGGACTCTTCATACCAATTACCCAGGTCTTCGTCGTCGACCTCACCGGCAAAGACAATCTCGTCTTCCAGGCCTGCTGCCCTGGCCTGAGCCCTCAGTTCCTCTTCGGCGTCCTCCTCCCGTCCAACGAGCACCAGGCGGGTCGGGCGCTGAAAGCTGGAACGAGCCTGACGGTATACATCCATTAGCCAAGCTGCCCCTTTGTGCTGCTCAGCCGGCCGACGCAGAGAATCGTCAGAGGGTCGTTATCATTGCCCGGCACCGTGTCTACAGCCTCCGTCTTGCGACCCATGACTGAAGCTCCCCAGCCTATGACGGAAAGCTGGTCATCACTTACCTTATAATCACGCCTTACCTGCTCGGCTTCCTGGAGGGTGAGTGTCACAACATCGTCGACCCGTTGGGAAATGAAACGGTTGATATACTTGAGCCAAATGCGGCTCTTTGGCAGGGTGTGATAAGAGGGAGTAAACACAAACCTGGCCCGGCCTTTGCGACACGACCAAGACCAGAAATGGCCCCAGAACCAACCATCGCCCACGAAATGAACTATATGAGGATTGAACTCTTCCAGGTAATGGCGTACCTGCGCTGGCGAGAACCACACCAGCGGCACCGAGTAAAGGGGCAGAGAAGTCCTTGGGAAGCCCTTCAGTCGAAAGATGGAGATGCCTTCCTCCGTCTGTTCTCGGTCGGGCCATTCAGGGTGCGGTACTCGGGGAAAGGCGTACTTGGTGGTCAACACCCCCACCGCCTCAATGGCTTGGGAATCAAGCAGTTGGAATGACAAGCGTTCAATAGCCCGTTCTATGCCCCCCAAATAGGGGCGAAAGTAGGGAGTAAGGAACAACACGCGGAGAGGGGTTCTTTCCGTCTCCATTCCCACCTTCATTCCGGCGCAAATTCCGGCCAGGTTCGCCGGATAATGCCCAAGTCTCCGGAGATTCTAGGCTTACAGGCCTTGTAACGTCAAATCTATGGAAGGCTGTCAGGGACAGTATTTCCGTTTCGAGAGGCACCCAATTGAACTTACTCCAAATCTCAGACATTGTCCCTCTTCCACTTAGGAATCGCGGCAACAGGAACCCACTTTTCTTGTGTTATATTAGGAACAATTCAAACGTGCGGGATTCAAATAAACAGGAGTTGTAGCATGTTGGCTTTCCTGGGTGGCACCGGACCGGAGGGCAGAGGTTTGGCGCTGCGCCTTGCCCTGGCCGGAGAAAATGTGGTAATCGGTTCCCGGGACGCCCAACGCGCGGCGCCGCCGCCGAGGAATTGGCGAGTCTGGTTCAAGGGTCCAACGATTGCGGCAGCATCAACGGTTATGACAACGTCTTTGCCGCCCAGCACGCTGATACTGCCTTCTTGACAGTACCTTACGGAGCCCAACGTCCCATGCTGGAGCAACTGGCCGAAGCCCTGGCTGGCAAGGTGGTAGTCAACGTAATCGCCCCCATGCGCTTTGAAAGGGGGAAGGGAGCTATCGCGGTACCCGTGGAAGACGGGTCCGCCTCCGAAGAGGCCCAGTCTCTGCTGCCCAACTCCGCCGTCGTGGCCGCCTTCCAAAACGTAAGCGCAGAGGAACTCCAGGAGCCTGCCAGGGATATGGAGGGCGACGTCGTAATCTGCGCAGACAACAGGGATGCGAAGGCCCAGATTATGTCCTTGACGGAAAAGATACCCAACCTGCGTCCGGTGGACGGCGGCGGACTGGGTAACGCAAAGTACGTGGAGCAGATAACTCCATTGTTAGTGAACATCAACAGAATTTACAAGGTACACTCGGGCATAAGAATTGTGGGAGTGTAAGGCATCCGGCGGACAGGCATTTATAAATTCGACTTGGAGGAATAGGCAATGCCGCGAGGAAATCTGAACTTGCAAAACCCTGAAGACCTTAAGAGCGTGAATGGCGTTTGGCGATGGGCGCCCGGCCTGGTGCCAGGTGAGCCCAACGAAGGCTTGGTGTCTCAACTTGAGGGCAGTCCAGCCAGATTGCCCGACTATGACGACTCAGGCTGGGAGGTCTGCAACGACCTTGCGGAGTGGCGCTCTCGCGGCGTGACCTTTGCCTGGTACCGCATCAAGGTAACATTACCCGAGCAGGTGGAAGGTCGGGATATTACCGGCGCCCGCTGCATATTTGAGACCTGCATCGACGACTACGGTGAGTTGTGGATTGACGGAGAATGCAACCGCGACCGCGGCGCGGTTCAGGGATTCAACGTGCCCCAGCGGGTGGTGGTGGACGCGGAGCCAAAACCCGGCGACGAGCATACCATTGCGCTGCTGGCCATGAACGGCCCTATCGGAGCACCCGGCGGGGCCGTCTTTGTCCGATACGCCACGCTGGCCTTTGAGTGGAGAACCCCCGGATACTAGGCTCCATTAACGGATAACCCTCGCATAAGGAGGTAGAGAAATGGCTCTTTCCAAGGATAAGTTCGACCAGGGTATGACCACCCAGGAGTACATAGACTATATCAAGGTCAACAAGCAGCCCTTTATTGACATCTACAACGGGGTAGAGGTGCCGGCGGAAACTCAGGCCTTTTTTGACGGGTTGGCTGAGCCCCTGAACCTGGCGGTGTTCACCTCAGACTGGTGCGGCGATGCCATGAGCACCACCCCGGCCGTATTGAAGCTGGCCGACAGCACCGACAAGCTGAACCTGCAGGTTTTCAGTCGGGATGACGAACTGGAACTGACAAACAGCTTCCTTCCGGAACACCGGGCAGGTACCGTTCCGGTATTCGTCACCTTTGACGCAGAGATGGGAGAAGTGTCCCGGTTCATCGAGACGGCCCGCTCCCTGGTACCCCAGATCGATTCCATGGACGACAACATCGCCCAGGAAGTTGCTGCCGAGGGCGCCAGTGGTGACGAGGTCCGGGCAGCGACCCGCGGAAAGCGCACCGCCTTCCGTGTGGGCAAAGCCAACGATTGGGGGGAAATGATACTGAAGGAGTTTCAGCAATTGGTAGCTGAAGGTCTGGAGATGGCTCCTGTGCAGCGTCCGTCCGAGGGCGGCACCGAGTGGCCTCCGCCCGAAGCATAACGAAGCATAAATGGAAGTGCGGGGGCGGTAACCTCCATGGCCCATTTCCTGGTCAGAGTACAACCCAGATCCTCCAGGGACCGGGTTGAGGGATATTTGGACGGCATGCTTAAGGTGCGGGTGACCGCTCCTCCTGCTGACGGAAAGGCAAACACCGCCCTGACTAAGTTGCTGGCCGAATTTCTGGAAGTTCCCCGGAGTGGAATAAAGATAGTCCGGGGAGTTACCTCCAGAAACAAGATGGTCGAGGTTGAATCATTAAGCGAGGAAGCATTGCTGGTCAGGCTGGATAGTGTCAAAACGAGGGGCGGAGGCTGAACTCCGCCCTTTTAGTTTGTTCCCTGGCTGTTTGGCCGTACAGGCTACTCTTGGTGTCAACCACACTCTTCCTCCAATGCGCCGGGCCGGCGGGCATCACCCTTGTATTGGCTTGCCTCTGGCCAGGCAGTATAATTGGCGCCGAACGATCTATTTGCCCAGTATTCGGAGTCTTCTGTTGGAATACTTGAACTTCAGTTGGGTATTGGAAGGATACTTGGCGGGCGCCATGGGCCCCACCAGTCGCCGCGACCTCATTTTCTTCCAAAGGCAGGACATTCGAGCAGTCCTCAGAATGGAAGAGAGCACCATATCCGCCGAGATATGGAACATGTACGATATGTTTGAGCCCGTGCCCGACTTCACCGCTCCTACATTGGAGCAGATAGACCGGATGGCTCGGTGGATTGAGGAGCAGATCGAAAACTACGAGCGACCTGTCGTAGTTACCTGCCACGCTGGCATCGGCAGGACAGGGACTATGCTGGCCGCATATATGGTCTACATGGGCTACGAGCCACAGGCAGCCATTGACCACGTCAGGGAGCAGCGACCCGGGTCTATCGAGACCCCGGAGCAGCAGCAGGCGGTCTTCGACTACGCCGAACACCGGAGAGTACCGGTGGGGCCCGTGTTCGGGGAAGCTAGACACAAACGTGGCAAATGAAAGCCCGGTTGGTGCGCAAACTCAAGGTCTGCTTTGCCAACCGGGCTGACTTCTGCCTGAAAGCTAACGGCAGACGGCGACACCATCAGGCAGCCAGTTTCTTGTCACTTGTTGCAGCCATCTGCGGCGGTGTGGCGCCAAGGTCAATGATGCGGCCGCACTGCAGGCACTTGCGAAAGTACCCGTCAAAGTCCCGATCCTGGACCATATCGCCCCCACACTTTCCGCAAGATTTGAAGAAGAACCTGGTAGTGTTATCCATAACCGCATCTAACCTATCCTTTCCCTTTTCGGGATATTAATCATCACGCCGTGAGATGATACGCCCTCCCGCTGTACTCGGATCCATTGAGGTCCATAATGTATCACCACACGATGATTATGATTTCTTATTATATTGTGTGGCTTATGCGGTGTCTATAACTTATAAACAAATATTCACAATTCTGACTGAACCGTTCGGTAGAGTTTGAATCCGGAGAAATCACATGAGCAGTGAACAAGAATCACCCCAAGGCATACGCCCGGTCGAGATTTCCCCTCTATTGCTGGAGAGGATTTATCAAGAGGCCCGCCGCAGCTTTCCGGCCGAGTGCTGTGGATGGCTATCCGGGCCATCTGAAGGGAACACAGCCGTCGACATCCGACCCTGCGTCAACGACCAGGATTCAGGGAACCATCCAACGGTCACTGATCGTACCGCGGAGAGGGCTTACGTATTTAGCGCCCATGACCTGTTGGACCTGAACCGCAATCTGGACGGCGACCAGCCACCCCTGGTCATCTATCACTCCCACCCCAATGGGCAGGCATATTTTTCGCCCACCGACCGGCAGGTCGCAGCCAGTCCCTGGGGGGACGGGCCCGCCTATCCGGTGCAGCAATTGGTGGTAGGCATTGATGAGAACAGGGTCGTGGAGTCGGCCATATTCGCCTGGTCGGATACGGAGAACGGTTTCGTGAATCGCCCGTTATGAAGGAGCGGACCTCTAGTATTACAACGACACGTTTGCTTTCTCCAGGCAGGGCGCCTCTCGCTTTTCACGAACCATTCGAACCGTGACAATTGATGCGACGAGCCACCGCGATGCACGCTGGCAGCTGAATACGGACAGAGTAGTAAGAGAACAGAACATATTTAGCGATCCGTCGTTGTAATACTAGGCAAGCGTGTTTGTAATGGGCGCCGGCGGCCCGAACACCAGCCAGGAACATCAGGAATCCAGCAATGGGAATGTCAATATCTACGCTTCCGTACACCTTTAGGCAAGACGTTGACGGTTTATGCGTTTGTTTGACAATGATGAGGTTGCTATAATCTCATTAGAATCCTCAACCAATCGAAAATAGTCGAAAGTCAGGAGGGCATTATGGGATACACACCTAGACAACTGGGCCACGTTAACATTTACGTGCGAAACGCTGAACGGGCCAGGGACTGGTACGAAGACCTGCTGGGACTGCATACCCATGGCTTCACTCCGGGGCGCGCCGCCTTTATGAGCGCCGACATTGGCAACTCCACATGAGATTGCACTGGTCGAGGTGGGAGAGGACGCCCCGGGCCCGCAACGAGGACAGGTAGGCCTGAACCACATGGCCTGGTACATGAACAGCGTGGAAGATCTGGCAGAACTTTACAATCGAGTTAAAGAGAAGAACATTCCCATCGAGCGGGTTTCCGACCACGGCCACGCCATAGGAATATATATTCACGACCCGGACGGAAACGGAATCGAGCTATCATACGAAATGCCGGCCAGTGAATGGGGCCACGACCCCAGCGGCTACATGATTGGTGGCACCGCTAAGGGTCGCTTGTCGGGTCCCTGGGATGAAGCGTTGGCAAGGCAAGCCCAAGTTACGGCGTAGAGGAATCCGGACGAACCCTCACTCCTGTCCCCTCTCCATGAGGGAGTGGGGTAGCGACAAGTTTAACTCGGCCTGCCGGTCTTCGAGAACTGGCAGGCAGTGAAATGATTAGCGGGAACATTTGAAATCAGGGAGGTAACGGTAATGTCAGGAAGCTACAGCATTATGGTTGGAACAACCGGCGCCGGTCTGTTCCACAGCGCGGACTCCGGCGAGAGCTGGCGACGCATCGGCAGCCCTTTTCCCGGCGAGTCCCAGGTAAGGGCACTGGCCGTCGACCCCAGCAGCCCCAACGTGGTGTATGCCGGAGCGGAAAATGGCATCTATCGCAGCGAGGACGCCGGGACGAACTGGGCCAAGCTGGATTCCCCCATGGAAGGCCTGAAGATATGGTCTATCGCGATAGACCCGTCCAACTCAGATAACGTCTTTGTCGGCACCAGCCCCGCTCAACTCTTCCGCAGCCGGGACGGCGGCCAGAGCTGGGACAAACTGGCGGCCAACATCGCCCAGGAATGCGCTATCGGGGACCCACGGGTAACGGCCTTGCTGGTAGATCCGGTTGACAGCAATACCGTGCTGGCAGGGGTCGAGATTGACGGCGTGTACGTCAGCCGGGACGGCGGTGACACCTGGAGTCACGTTGACCAGGGAATCACCAACCCGGACATTCACGGCATGGCCTTCAGCCTGGGCGAAGAGAAGACTGTACTGGTCAGCACTCCACGGGAAATTTTCGCCAGCAGTGATGACGGCGCCACTTTCCAGTCCCTGATGTCTTCTTCATCACTGGAAATGCCCTACTGCCGGTGGGTGGCGGTGAAGGCCGACGACCCGCAGACTATGTTCGTTGCCAACGGCGATGCGGCCATTGGCAACACCGGCACCATCCGGCGTTCCACGGACGGCGGCCAGTCCTGGAACGAAGTGCCATTGCCGGTGGAGCCCAACTCGCCGGTGTGGAACTTTGCCACCAACCCGGCCGACCCCGAACTGATATTGGCCAACAGCGTTTATGGAGAACTGTACCGCAGCGAGGACGGCGGGGAGAACTGGGGGAAAATCAAGAAGGAGTTCACCGAGGTAAGGGCGCTGGCCTGGACGCCGAACTAACCATCGCACCACTAGAGGCGACAACACCTTGGGGGGCAGCCCTTGCGGCTGCCCTCTATGTTTTTTAGAGGCCGCCGCCGCTGAACCTGAAGAGGAAAAAATAAACCAGGAACACCATTGCCAATAGCGTCCCGATGATCAGGCAACCGTACCTGGCCAATTGCTTACTCTCCCTCTCCGACTTCCCAATAGTTGCCAGCTCTGCTGGTCAATTCTCTATGCGAACAGCCCTTGTCCCGCCGGCACTATCAGTTCAGGACCGTTGTTGGTAGCCTTGTTCACCAGGGTTGAAACTTCGAAGATCTCCATCGGGTCTTCCGGGTATGGGGCCAGCACGTCAGTCAAGGCCGCAGAGTCGATGACATCCCCATCCAGCCAGAACTCTTCCAGTTCCCGGGGCAAAATCACCGGCATCCGCTCGTGGATGGGACGGAGCAGGTCGTTGGCCTCGGTGGTGACGATGGTGCAGGAGCGTACGGTTTCGCCCTGGGGATCGCGCCACGATTCCCACAAGCCGGCAAAGGCGAAGGGTTCTCGCGACTTCATGACAATGCGCATGGGCCGTTTGGACTTGCCCACCTTTTGCCACTCGTAGAACCCGTCGGCCAGCACCAGGCATCGTCGGCGTTGCAGCGCGTTGCGGAAGCTGGGCTTCTGGGCTGCTGTTTCGCCCCTCGCGTTGATCATGCGGTTGCCGATGGAGGCGTCCTTGGCCCAGGAGGGTATCAGCCCCCAGCGCATGTATTCGGCTTGCCGCTCTTCCCTATTGGTAACGGTCAGTACCGACTGGGTGGGGGCCACGTTGTACCGGGGTGCGTTCTCGAAGCCGGCCGCGTCAAACTCGAACTGGCGAGCCAAATCCTGCAAGTCGGCGATGAGGCTGTATCTCCCGCACATGGCGAAGTTCCTGAAAGATAGATTTGATTGATATTTTACCACTTGAAGCAGGGTAAGATATTCCCACTAATGCCAGTCATGCCCATCGGGCATTGAGACCCGCGGGTCTATAGCCACCACCTCGGACACTATTACGTTGGCGGTGCCGTCCCACCGGGAGACGGTGCCCCGGGCCAGGATGACCTGGCTGCGCAGTTGCCGCTTGCACCGCTCGAAGACCGGCGGCCAGATGATTAACTGGTGTCCCCCTCCTCGTCCTCGACAGTTACGAAAACGGTGCCGTGCTGGCCCCGGGGGATGCTGTCGAGCCACCGGCCAGCCGGCGACCAATACCTCCGTTCCATCCTCCAGGTGTTCAATAGCCGTGGTAGGCAGCACCCGCGGGTTCAGCCCGGGTCTGACGAACTGCATCAGGTGGCCGCTGGGGTAGATGCCCATCACCCGGTACTCACCAGCCATCCGCTCAAAGTCGGTGAAGTCTGGCAGGCTGGGCGCGTGGTCCACGGTGGTCAGGGGCAGGGCCGCCTGTCCGTTTCGGCCCGGGCGAACGTCCAGACCGGCGTTCCACAGGGCCTGACGGCGGTTGGACACCATGGCGTCGAAGGTCCCGGCCTGCACCAGCGACTGGACTGCCTGGGGCTTCAAGCCAGTGCGGCGCACCAGGTCGGAGGGGCCCAGATAGGACCCACCCCGTTCCCGCTCGGTCACAATCAACTCTGCCCCCTTACCGCCCACATCCTTGATGAACTCCAGTCCCATCCGTACCGAACCATTTTCAGGACGGCAGCGTTCCAGGCTCCGGTTCACGCAGGGATTCAGGAAGGGCACCCCGAAGCGGCGGGCGTCCTGCTTCAGCGTTTCCCTGGGGTAGAAACCCATTGGCTGGTTATTCATCAGGGAGACAAAGAACTCCACCGGGTAGTAGCGCTTCAGCCACGCAGCCTGGTAAGCAGTAACGGCAAAGGCGTGGGAGTGGGACTCCGGGAACATGTACTGGCCGTTGAGCTTGGCGAAGATTTTGGCGGCGGTTTCATCGGGGACGCCCCGCTGCTGCGCTCCTTCCAGGAACTGCCGCCAGTGCTCCTCGATGAGGTGCTTGTTGTTGGGGCGAGCGAAGGCCCGGCGCATCTCGTCGGCCTGGGCGGCGGTGAGGCCGGCCACATCCATCACCAGTTGCACCACCTGCTCCTGCCAGACAATGATGCCACACCCCCGTTCCAGCGCCCGCTGCTCCAGGGGGTGGTCGAACTCCCAGGACGCTCCGTACCGGTAGCGCTCCACGAACTGGGAGACAGCGCTGCCCTGAACGCCCACTCCTGGCCGGATAAGGGCCACCTGGTAGGCCAGGTCCAGGAGACAGCGGGACTTGAGCCGCTGCGCCATGTTGAGCTGGGCCGGCGATTGCAGCAGAAAGACTCCCTTGGCCCGGCCCTGGTTGATCAGATCGTACACCTGGGGGTCTTTCGGATCGATGCGGCTGATGTCGGGACGGTGGCCGTCCCGGGCCTCGATCAGGTCCAGAGCTTCCTCTAACTGGTCCAGCACGGGCAGGGACAGCAGGTCTATCTTGGCGAAGCCGGCGTCGGCCACGCTGTCCTTGTTCCAGTCCATGATGTAGCGTCCTTCCATAGCCCCGGCCCGGGTGGGAACCATTTCGGGGATGGGAGAACTGCTGAGTATCATGCCGCCCACGTGCTGGCTCAACAGCTTGGGGGCACCCATCAACTGGGGGGCAAGCTGGACCAGGTCTCGCCAGCCCGGGGCGTCCACCTTGTCCTGGAAAGCCGGCAGTTCCCGCATCTCTTGTTCCAGGTCTTCAGCCTTGTAGGAATGGAGCTGCTTTGACAGCAGGGTGAGTTCTTCCCGGGGCAGACCCAGCGCCTTGCCAACATCCTGGAGAATCCCCCGGACGGTGTAGGTGGATATGGCCCCGGTGAGAATGGCATACTCCTTACCGAAGCATTCGTGGACCCGCGCGATGAGTTCGTCCCTCAGATTGCGGGGAAAATCCAGGTCGATGTCCGGCAGCAGGCTGGTATCCTCGGAAATGAACCGCTCCAGGGTAAGACCCCATTCGAGCGGATCAACGTGGCTGATGCCGATAAGGTAGCCCACCAGCAGGGCCACCGAGGAACCCCGGCCCCGACCCGGCGGTCGTTCCTCCAGGGGTGTTTCCGGGTGGGTCAGGCCCCGTTCCTCCATGATGCACTGGGCCAGCAGGACAATCTCGCGGTAGAGGAGCAGGAACCCGGCCAGACCGTGAACACGGAGCAGCCGGAACTCCTCATCCAGCCGTTCCTGCACCTCCCGGGTCACCGCACCGTAGCGTCGTACCGCACCCTCCCGACACAACTGCTGCAGGTAGCTATCCGGAGTGTAGCCGTCCGGCACGTCAGGCTCTGGCAGGGTGTATCCCAGGTCAGTGCTGAGGTTGAACCGGCACTCGTCAGCAATGCGCCGGGTGTTGGCCACCGCCTCGGGGCAGTCCTCGAAAAGCTGCTCCATACGCCGAGGCGATTTCAGGCAGAGGTGCCGGTTGGGGTGGATGAAGGGCAGCGCCTGGTCCATGGTTGTGTTGTGTTTGGCAGCCACCAGGGCATGCTGCAGTCGGTAGCGTTCCGGAGAATGGTAATGGACGTCGTTGGTGGCAACCACTGCAACGCCGGCCTGGGCAGCCAGGCTGACCAATTCCCGATTGCGGCCGGCGTCGCCCTGCAGGAAGTTCTGCTGCAACTCCACGAACGCCGAGTCGGCGCCGAACCATTCCAAGTAGTCTAGCAACAGCCGCAGGGCCTCGGGACGACGGTTTTCCACCAGTAGCCGGTCAACCGGCCCGCCCCTGCCCCCGGTAAGCAGGGTGACCCCGGCGGTATGTTGGGGCAGGTAACGCGGGTCCAGCTTCGGCTCACGGCGCTCGGAGGCGTTGGCCAGGGTAAAGAGGCGGGAGATGTTGGCGTAGCCCTCCCGCGTCCGGGCCAGCAGGGTCAGGCGGCTGCCATCAGTGAGAGTCAGTTCACCGCCGGTAACGGGTTGAATGCCCAGGCTGACGGCCATGCGCGCGAACTCCAGAGCGCCGCAGAGGTTGGTATCGGTCAGGGCCAGCGCATGGTAGCCGAACTCCCGGGCCTGGGCCAGCAGTTCGTGGGTATGAGAAGCCCCCAGTCCAAAGGAATAAAAGCTCTTGGCGTGAAGTTCTACGTAGATATCGGACATGACTCGTTTCCGCTTCAGCCCACTACGCTACCGGCCCTGTTGGTACCAGCGGTCCTCCCGCTGGTCCCGGAACAAGACTACCTGTCTCCCATCCTCCCGGTCCACCCGATAGTAAGTCTGGTTAAGGGTTTGGGCAGCCACCAGAGATCAAAACTCCACCGCTCGGCTACGCGGTCCACCCGGCGCCAGCGATTGCCCTGCCTGATGGCCGCCGGCTGGTGGTCGGGACCTTCCTCCACCGTCACCGGTTCCGGTAAGAGCAGGGGACGGATGCCACCGGTGCCTTGGTGGTCCAGAGGCGCCTGCACTGCCCGCATCTCCGGGGCCGGGTGCCACGGCGCTACGTTGACCACCCGGTACAGGGTCGAGGCGCCGGACGTTCGCAACTGCAACCGCCGCTCCACCTCCACCAACTGCTGCTGTCGGGATTCACGGACCTCAGTGAGCAGGCCAAGCTGGGCGCCGGACTCGCCGGTAAAATCGGCCAGGGTCAGGGTCAGGTCGTCGATGGGGGCCTGGGGTGGCTCGGCCTCCAGCCGGCTGCGGACGATGAAAGAGGCCCTCTCCCAGCGGTTAACCCCCTCCTGGAAGGCAATGGACCTCTCCCAGGGGGCGGTCCGGAAGACGGTGCATTCCAGGACTACTCTGCCGGCGTACCGGCCCCGTATTTCCGGTCGGGCATAAGCCCGTCGCAGCAGAGTGTCCACCGCCACCAGCAGCAGTTCCAGGGATGTGGAGGAAAAGGGCAGCGAGGTCCGTTCCACCACCGCCTCTTCGTGCTTGATGGGAACCAGGGGACTGTCGTCCTTGCCGTTGGCCAGGGTCCAGGCCTGCCAGCCTTCCCGGCCGAACCGGTCCACCAGCAGGGCGGATTGCATGGAGGCAATCTGGCTCAGAGTGTGCAGGCCGAAGCGATGCAGGGCCTCACGAGTCCCTACCGACACGGGCAGCAGATCCACCGAGTGAGGGCGAGGAAAGCAGCCGGGTAGAGCGGAACCCGGGTCGCACCCAGGGCCCGGCTGGTACGGGCCGCCACCAGAGCAGGGAACTTGCCTTCGCCGACACCGATGCGAGGATTCAGCCAACGAGGGATGGCGTTCAGCAAGGTGGTTACCAGCCTTGCCTCGCCGCCGTACATCTGCTCCAGTCCATCGATTCCCACATAGGCAGTGCCCAGTTCTGCCGCTTCCACCCGATCGCTGACTCCCAGCAAAGCCCTGAGGACCTGCCGGAACACCCGGCGGTAGTGGGGTTCGTCGGATTCCACCACAACGGCATCTGGCTGGAGGCTCAGGGCTTGTTCAAGGGTGATTCCGGCCGTCACCGCCGATGCTTGGGGAGAACTGTCAATTGCCAGGGGACGGGCCTGGCTGCGGTCAACTATAATGGTGGGCAAGCCCTCAAGACGGGGGCTGACGCTTCACCTCAGCCTTGACCCTCAAGTGGGTAATCAGCGCACAGGCGACCTTCATTTCTTCCCAGCAATGCCCAATGTGGGTTACGCATTGCCGGGATAATTTTACGAACTTATGTTCTATAAGTCAATGTCCGGGAATTAAACTCACGAAGGGCGCGAAGGGGAGTTAATCCACGAATAAACACGAATTTCAGAACATTTCATTGGTGAAAATTCAGCCCATTCGTGGACAAAAAGAGGCGGCCCACCTGCTGTTTAGAACATAGGCAGGTGGGCCGCTTCAGCGCTTGATAATGTGGAACAGCGCGCCGGGGTTTCAGGAAGCGGTTACCGGTCCATTACCTTCATAGTGTTCTCATCCGGGTTGTACTGGTAGCGGACGAGGCGGTCCAGCTTCTGGGATTCCAGGCGGACCACCAGAGCGCGGCCACCGGTGACGTTGCGGGTGTTATGAATCTCGCCGGGCAGGAAAAACGCTACCGCCCCTTCCTTTTGCACGAACTGACCGGTTTCCTTGAGTTGCAGGCGATCAACACCCTCGCCGGGGTAGAACCAGCGCCACTTGGTCTGCTCGATGGCGCCGTCGTACACGCCGTAAACCACCCAGGCATTGCCGTGGTCGTGGGGCAGGTTGTCGCGACCGTCTTCCTGAACCGATGCCATCAGCCAGAAACCGGGGAGGGGGTGACCAGCATCCTCTTCCAGGTGCAGGCTCTTCGGGCCATAGCCGCCCTCTTCGGGCAGGTCCAGCATCTCTTCCAGCCAGCCGGGGGTATTGATGAGGGGTCTTCAGATTGTCGGACACCGCCTGGGCCTGGGCCAGCGGGTCGCTGGTGGTGGCAAAGGTTTCCCTTACATCGTCCAGAAAGGCATCCATGGTGTAAGCGGGCGCCATAGTCATATCGACCTCCTAACAAACCGGAGTATCTTGTTTATACTTATAATTCTGTTTGAATCTATGGCTTGTGTCAATCCTTTCCAATACATCCACGAATAAGCCCGAAAATGCGCCAATATTGGCAGATTCCTGTTCCGGACTGTAGTTTATCTGCCATCAAACCTGTCATTTTGAATCTGCATGGCCGCATTTCAGACCAATTACTGTCTCAGTTCGTGAATGGCTCTCAGAAGCCGGTTGAAACGGAAGGGACACAATGTTAGATTCTCGAAAGCCCAAGTCCAAGCGACCAGCCAAACGATTGCGACCACACTGCCCACTCTTGGAGGTACCAGGATATGCCGGAACGTGTTTGGGAACCCTATCTGACGGAACAGGACCGGGCCCATCTGGATACGACCACGCCCAAGGAAGTGGGGTTCGGGAAGCGGCCTGCCCTGCTGCTGGTGGACCTCTACCGGTGGGTATTTGGCGATGAGCCACAGCCTCTGCTGGAAGCGGTAAAGGACTGGCCAGGCAGCTGCGGTCTGGCAGCGTGGGACGCCATTCCCCACATCCAGACATTGCTTGATGCTTCCAGAAAGGCGGGCGTTCCAGTGATTCACGTAACGGGCCTGAGCGGGTCCGGCGTGGAGTCTTGGAGTTCCCTGAAGCAGCCCGCCGGCAACTCGGACCTGCGGGAAGGGGCTGAAGACGAGGCAGCCCTGGACCGGCAGCGCCGGCGGTTCGACATCATCGACGAATGCGGGCCCATTGACGGCGAGGCAGTGCTTTACAAGACCGCGCCCAGCGCCTTTTGGGGTACGCCATTGACCGGACACCTCACCCGCTTGGGGATTGATACGCTCATTACCTGTGGCGAGAGCACTAGCGGCTGCGTCCGTGCCAGTGTGGTGGACGGCTGCACCAACCGCTACCGGATGATTGTCGTGGAGGAGTGTGTGTTTGACCGGCACGAGGTCACCCACGCTATCAACCTTTTCGACATGCACCAGAAGTACGCCGATGTACTACCCTTGGCGGAGGTTCTGGAGCGACTGGCGGAGGGTAGTTTCGAGAAGGCCGGGGGCTAACCGTCTTCAATCACCCGGAATCACCAAAAGGTAGGGGCAGCCCTTGTGGCTGCCCTCTTTACCGATACTCCATTGGTGAATATTAGTGTCAATTCGTGGACTAACTACCCCGCCTTTTCCAGCGGCGCCACGCTGAAGATAACGTGGAATGGCATGCAGTAAATGATGATGCTGTTTTGCTCTGACAGGTCAATATCCGCCGGGATTTCGTAGTTCTGGTTTCCGATGTTGCCCTTCAGCTTGGCCAGGTGGGTGTAGCCGCCGGCCTGAAGTTCATCGCGACTTTGCGGGTCGTTGGGCTGGGCCAGCAACACCCGTAGGTCGGGACCGTTGGTGACCGTGAAATCTTCAAACCTCAGGATGTGACCCCCATCGGGCGTTTGGTAGATGGTCGCCGTGCCGTTGCCCCGGTGGAAAGAGTCGGCGTCCCGGAAGTTTCCGGTGGCCACGGCTACCGGTTGGGGAGGAGGACCCGCATTGGCGGCTTCCTCAAGCATTTCATCCATGGCCGAAGTATCTCCGGCCATGACTTTTTCTATCGCTTCTCGCATTTCCTCAGAAGCCACCGTAAGTACGGCCTCTTCCTTGATGGCCTCCGTTTCCGCCGGCATAGGTTCCGCCGGCATGGGTTCGGCCATGGGCGGCTGGTCCATCTTTGCCATGGTCTCCATCACGGCGTTCACTTCCGCCATGGTCATTTCCGGCGGTATTTCGGCTGTGGCGGCGTAGGGGAACTCCTCATCCACCGTCGTGCTGATGAATAGCGGCGCCAATAGCCACCAGGCAAAAGCCGCAATGGGAATCAGTATTACTATTGCCGCAATTATAAAAATATTTCGCTTTCGCATTTCTGCTCCCTGCGTTGAGTAACCGCTCGGGCTCGTGGTCCTTAGTTGCCTTACGCCTTGTAGACCTCGGGGTTAGCACACCGGACCAGGGGATTGCCTTCAAGGCCCGCTATCAGGTTGCGGGCTGCCAGCATGCACATGGCGCCCCGGGAGGCCAGGGATGCGCTGCCCACATGGGGCGCGATAACCACGTTCTCCAGCGTCAGCAGCGGATCGGCGGCGGGGATAGGCTCCGGGTCGGTAACGTCCAGGCCAGCGGCGTAAATCCAGCCCTCCTTCAATGCGGTATAGAGTGCCCTGGAATCTACTACCGGGCCCCGGGCGGCGTTGACCAGAATGGCGGTGGGTTTCATCTGGCGCAGTTCGGCCTCACCGATGTAATGTCGGGTTTCCGGTGTCAGCGGCATGTGCAGAGAAACGAAGTCAGATTCGGCCAGCAGAGTTGGCAGGTCAACGTAAACAAGGCCATACTCCGCCTCCAGGTCGGGGCGGCGCGAACGGGAGTGGTAAATGATGTTCATGTCGAACCCACGACCCCGCCGGGCCATTTCCAGGCCAATCTGACCCATGCCGATAATACCCAAGGTCTTTTCATGAACATCCACTCCCAGCCAGCGGAGAGGGTGAAAGGCAAGGGTCCACTGGCCGTCGCGAACCCAGCGTTCGCTCTCACTAATGCGCCGGGCCGCGGACATGAGCAAGGCGAAGGCGACGTCGGCGGTGGCTTTGGCCAGCACCCCAGGGGTGTACCCCACCGGAATGCCACGACGGGTGGCCTCGGCGACATCCACGTTGTCCAAACCCACGGCTAGCTGGCTGATAACCTTCAGCCTTGGGGCGGCGTCCAGAAGAGGACCATCCACTCGGTCCATTATGTTGGTGAGAATGCCGTCAACCGTAGAAGCTTTTTCCCTCATGACCTCTGGAGCAGGAGGATTCTCGTCAGGCCAGACCTCCATGTCAGCCGATTCGTCAATGAGGTCAAGAGCCTCTTGCATAATCTGACGGGTAATAAAGACGCGGGGCCTGTTGTTCAATTCCTTTACCTGCTTATCACCGATTTAGACACCCGTAAACCGACCCTGATTAACCCTCTTTAATAAATCTTAACAAAGGGATTTGGCATTTGCTACAGCTTGCACCGGCCTGTTGAGCATTCCCAAAGAAGCCTTTGCCCGCCAACTACCGCGGGCTTGGTGCTATACTTACCCCCGTTCGAGTGAACGGCACCTGACAACCCATATCCCTGGAGGATTTATGGCCCTGTTTTTGAACGAGCAAGAAGTAGCGCAACTGCTGCCTATGTCGGAGTGCGTGGAGGTACTGGACGAGGCTTTTGCCCACGCCGGCGCCGGCAAGGTGGACATCAAGCCCCGGTCCCGCATCCGCATGCCAGGCGGATTTTTTCACTTCATGGCCGCCGCCGACGCAGACCACCAGGTTTTCGGATACAAGGCCTACCCGTCCTTTGCCGGCGGGGCGAAAATGATCGTTATGCTCTATGACTATAGCACCGGAGAGTTGCTGTCCTGCATGGAAGGCGGGAGGTTGGGACAGATACGCACCGGTGCGGCCTCCGGGCTGGCCAGCAAGTATATGGCCCGGTCCGATGCAGACAGCGTGGGCGTAATCGGTTCCGGCTTCCAGGCTCGGACCCAGTTGGAAGCGGTGTGCGCCGTCAGGGACATCAAGCGAGCGAAGGTTTACAGCCGCCGCCAGGAACGGCGAGAAAGTTTCGCCCAGCGGATGAGTGAACAACTCAATATTGAGATTACTCCAGCGGACACCGCCCAGGAATGTATGTCCGACGTTGCGGTGGCCATCACCATTACCTCTGCTCGAGACCCTGTCCTGGAAGGGGAATGGCTGGCCCCAGGCACTCACGTCAACGCGGCGGGCGGTAACCACTGGATCCGCCGCGAGGTGGACGAGGCCACAGTACTGCGCTCAGCGGTCATTGCTGTCGACGACCTGGACCAGGCAAAGATCGAATGCGGCGACCTTCTCTGGCCGGAGAGTCGCGGAGAGTTCCGTTGGGATATGGTATGCGAACTGCAGGACGTAGTGGCCGGCAGGGTAAATGGGCGCCCCGACGACGAGGCAGTAACGCTTTTTGAGTCTATGGGAGTGGCCCTGGAGGACATTGCCGCAGCACAGTTGGTATACCGTAAGGCACGAGACCAGGGAATAGGGCAGGAATTGCCGTTCTAGATTGATGTCCTGGCATCAAATCCAGAACTGTTTCCATACATATTCGGAGCCCTTAAACAACTTGCCCCCGGCGGTATTCCCGCCGGGGGCGATTGGTTGCCTTGCTTTTGACCTGTCGCTAGATACCCGGGGTGTGGAAACGAACGTCCGCGAAGGTACCCCTAATCTGGCGCTGGGTCCGTTCCCTTTCCGACATGGGATGACTGCTGAACCAGGTGTAAAGCGTGACTATATGATTAGCTATCCTGCTCATATCGATTCTCCATTCCTTTTAGGCTAACAGAGATAAAATGGCGGTTGTTCAGGCGAATAAATATCCGCCTAACACCGGCAATTGGGCTGACGACGCCCCCATGTAAGGACTATCCAGGGTGTCGGCGACATGGGCATTAACCTGAGTTGTTCCGGACTTTTCGTCACCTCCCGCAGTTATTTGAGGCGAACGGTCCGGCGAAACTGTTGGATTAAGTAAAGAAATGATTGCTGTTGCCTCGCCGAATTCGCCTATAAACAGGTTAGACCCGGCAGCGGCGCGAGTTCAACGATTTTTGGTGCAGATTAACAGGGGATTGGGGTGAACTTTCGCGATGGTTCGGGAAATCGAGGCTAAAC